TTCCAGAGGGCTGTGTTGGTTCCATGACAAAGTTTGGTTCTCGTTTTAAAAGCCACAGAAGCAGCTTCCGCGGGCATACAGATCGTTTTACTTATTTCCTTGCCTTATTAAGGTATGGAAAATAGGGCTTGGGGGCAGGTGCAAGAGGAGGATGGGTTAGGAAGCCATCGAAGCAACTTTGTCATAGAGGCAGCTATACAGATGGATCAAAACAGTATCCAGTCCTGCGGTGGCACACATCTGTAATTTCAGTAAGATGAGAGAGACAGACATGAACTGAATACAGGGCGGGGAAGCCACTGTCAAACTCTGATGGCACTACACTCAGGGGAGAGGAGAGGGGAGGGCCAAGCTGGGGGCTGCAGCTTGGGGCCTGGATCAGCACACAGTATCTTGTTCAGATGTCTAAGTACAGGGACTGAGAGAGCAGTAGAGTATTACATCTGGGGATCAAGAGCGGGGTTTGAGCCAGAAGCGTAGATTTGGGAGTCACCGGTAGTTGACCCCTCAGTTTTGGCAGGTAAAATGTTCCTGAGATAACTCTAAGTAGCCCACAAGGAGGACAAGTCTTGGTGAGGCATAAACTTGGATAGGGACAAGTGGCCCCTTACAGTAAAATTCCACTCATCTCCACCTGAAATCCAAGCTGTGCTCGTCGAGGGCTGCAGGCACCCAGCCACAGTAGTATTAGCAGGACCTGTGATTCTTGTCACCAGTGAAAATCACAGACACTTTCCCATCTCAGGAAATTTGCTGCAGATGTCTCAAAACGCCCTCTACGCCTATGGCTTGTTATCTAATGTGTCAACACGGAAGCGCACACTACTGAATCACAATTTTCTAAAAATATTTTCATGACTATTTCGATAAAAGTGGTTTCCTTTGAAAGCCTGCACCTTATTTTATGCACGTGAAAGCAATTCTGAGAGGGGATCTGCGGAGTTCGCCATGTGGCCCAAGTGGTTTGTGGTGTAAACACGAGCTAAGAACAATCCCCTTCTCCCCCAACCCCAGGCGGAGAGTGAGGTTAGATTCCCGGGCCCTCAGGGATCCGAGGTTCAGGGACAGGGTGGAGGAGGATGAGAGAGATGAGTGCTCCAAAGCTGGGGAGGGAGCCAGGGGAGGGAGACCTGGCCGGTGCCTGGGAGGCAGTGTGGCCATGCGTGTGGCTCTGTGTGGTACTGGGGAGACTAGGGATGGGCTCCATGGAGAGATGTGGCAGTCACTCGACGAAGAGCATTTCTGGGGAACTGTGCGTGTGGAAACCAGATTGGAGTGGGCTGAGGAGTGAGTAGGAGGTGGGGAAACGGAGTCAGGCAGTGTAAATAATTCTCTGGGGAACTTGGGGTGTGAAGGAGAACAACTTGGTGGAGGGGAGTGTGGGCAAGGGGAGGCGGGTCTCTCTTTTTAGATCATGATTAGAGGCTGATGGGAAAGCCCTCTGCAGATTGTCTAAGGCAAGCAGGGAAGGGGAGGACTGAGGGTACTGGGGAGGAAGATGGAGCATCCTAAACACAGGTGGGATGTTGGAAGAAGGTGGGAATGGGGGGTGAGGGAGAAGAGGGGGTGGGATGGAACCTGGGGAGAAAGGCTGAAGGGAAGAGAGGATTGAGCACAGAAACCTGGGCAGCTTTGAGAAAAGCCCTGAGCTTGCTGGCTGGGAGCCCATGCAAAGTGGGGTGACATTTCCTTTAGCTGTATTAGCCGCCTGGGTGTGGCTCAGAGACACAAGTGGACAGGATTTCATGACAGGTGTGAGAAAAGACAAAAGACAAGGAACTTACAAAGAAATCTGGGCTTCTGAAGAAGGGAAGGCCAGTTCAGAGACAGGTGACCTGGGACCCCTAGAGATTGAGGAAATGCCACAGCAGAAGTGACCCAGGGCAGACCTACAAAGCAATAATCACTTACCACTTACCAATAGAATCCTTTGGGGTGACAAGATGCGGGAAGTGTACTTGGGATGGGTGTGGGGTGTAGGGTGTGTGTGTGTGTGTGAGTGTGTGTGTAAGACACTTGAGATGCATTAGGAACTGGGAAGCCAGGGTGTGGTTGAGTTATCTAAGTGGATGCTGACGTCATTAGATAATGTGTCTGGAGATCAGGAGGGGGAAGGCAGAGAATAAGCTTCTGGTCAGAGTGGCACTGAATAGGGAGTGTGATCAGAAGACCAACAGGGACGGTGAGGGTTCGAGAAGATGGTAGACTCTAACTGCTCAGGCCAACTAAATGCAGGAGCCATGCTCTGGGAGCCGCAGGGGAGGGGGGCTCCTTCCTGTTTCTGAGAGGGTGGTACAGAAGGAAAGTCTTACAGGTGTTGTGTCAGGTAAGAGGCCATCTTCCTTCCTAAGATGGGGGAGGAAGCTCTTGGGACTTCTGTTTCCTGTAACCTGACAGCTAGCTCATTACTTCTGTTTCCACCTCCTCAGGGCAGGATCTGACATAAAACCGGAAATTCTCATTCTCTGTGAAGCTTTCTCCTTGTTTTTGTTTCATTCATTCGATCTTTTATGTCCCATATGTGGCTTAGGTTGACCACGAACTCACGATCCTCATCCTGCCTGCTGAGCACTGGGACTGCCGGTGTGTGCCACCACAGACAACTCCCCTTGACTGTTCTGTCAGACAGAGTAGGTTTTTGTGGAAGTCTTAGTTTAACCACACCGTGAATGACCTGAGGGAGGAGCATGGTTTATTCATTACCTTGCACTCCAGGCACTTAACGCACTGTGTGATACAGAAGCAGTTTGTAATTTCTGCATTTTAGCCTATTATTCTAAAATTTAAATTTGTTTTATTTTTAATTGACAAATAATTATATTTTAATTTTTTAATGAATGAAACATTATGGAAGGAAGATGAAAGGCTATTTTAGGATGAAATGCTATGTTATAAAATATATAACCTTAATGCAGGTACCATCTGAATACTAGTCTCTTACAACTGAAAAAGTTTAAGACTTTGATATCTTAATTTTAATTGGTTTCTAACAAGTTTTTTTTGTTGTTGTTTCAGGAATTAATTGGAACCATTTTTAAAAAGCAGGTAATTTTAATAAAACGAAGTACAGTGAGATGCACAGTATTACACACAGGGAAAGAGAGACGTTTTATTATAATCTCCTCTGCAGTTTCCAAGATGCTAAGTCCAACTAACACAGAGAACTATCTGGGTCAGAGGCCACCAGTTCTTGGTACCAACAATTTCCCCGAGCTGAGATCACTATTAGAGTTGGTATCAAGCTGGCCTCATGGAAGGATGAGGCTGGCTTGCTTATCTCCTGAGAGAGGCAGGACAACTTTGTGGAAGCATCCCAATTTAAGCTGACAGTTGCCCCATTTTAATGTCATGTTCTATTTTTAAATCACCTGGTGGAACTCCAACAAAACGCACAAGCGAAGGATGAACGGAGCCCTGCTGACTGGCCTGGCCGCATGGTTGTCACCTATTCACTCCCACGTGGCTGATGAAGGAGACCTTTAACCCTCAGGTTCCCCGAAGAAAGGGACAAGTGTCTAACCGAAGCCCAGAAGGATCATCCAGTTCAGGCTGGTGGGTTTCCAAAGTCCAAGTAAACCCTGAGGAGTCCCTTGGGGGCTCTTCTGAAGTCTCTCCATCCTCTAAGGCCGGCAGCCTGCTGTTCTTGTGTCTGTACACCGACCTATCTGTGGCAAAGGGAACTTACCCAGCGTTGTAATAAAGCTACCTGGTCCTTTGCAAGCGCTATGCCAGGCAAAGAACAGAAGATTGGCAGCCTCACCCTTCTGTCACTCATTTCAAACCAGTTCACAGGGAGTTCTCCTGTCCAACTGGAGGTCCATATTCTGGCCGGTATAGCTGCATGCCTCTGATGTTAGTATATGGTTATTTCTAGCACATCAGCCATCAAATGCGCCCAGCTATCTACTGAATGCATGATGGCCATTGGAAATGCATCCATACAGTGTCTTCTCTTTCTTTGTCTAGATCAGTGGCTCTCAACCTCCTAATGCTGTGACCCTTTAATACAGTCCCTCATGCTGTGGTGACCCTCAGTCATAACATTTTTGTTGCTACTTCATAATTGTAATTTTTGCAGTTATGAATTGTAATGTAAATATCTGTTTCCTGACAGTCTTAGGTAACCCCTGTGAAAGGGTCGTTCCACCCCCCTCCAAGGGGTCTAAGGGAAGGAGGCCTTACCCCATGGGAAGCCTGAACCCAGAGTGTACTCTGAGCATTCACAAGAGTAAGAGCAGTTGCTGGACCTGTAGAGAAACCTAGGGGACTTTCCCCAGGTTGGATGCCCCAAAGAGTTGATGGAGAGACATTTGTACGGTCAGGTCAATAAGCATCTTCTAAACAGTCCCAAAGACAGTGGGAAAAGACAGGGGGATTTTAAGTAAACGACTGTTGAAGAGATGGCTCAGAGGTTAAGAACACGAGCTGTTCTCCCAGAGGTCCTGAGTTCAATTCCCAGCAACCACATGGTAGCTCACAACCATCTGTAATGAGATCTGGTGTCCTCCTCTGGCTGGCAGAACACTGTTGCATAATAAAAAAAATTGGGGGGTGGGGTTTCTCTGTGTAGCTTTGGAGCCTATCCTGGCACTCGCTCTGTAGACCAGGCTGGCCTCGAACTCACAGAGATCCACCTGCCTCTGCTTCCTGAGTGTTGGGATTAAAGGCGTGCAGCACCAAGGCCCGGTATAAATAAATCTTTTAAAAAATAATAATAAATATTGTTATTCAATTTGCTTCCAGAATGATTACTCTTATGGTAGCCTGTTAGATTGGCTTGGTAGGGTGAGGTAAAGATAAGCTGGCGAGGAAATTCATTACTACAATAATCCAGACAGAAAGAAAGAAAGATAGGGCCCAGCAAGGGAAAATCTGTGGGCAGATTCTAGAGAAGAGACAAGACTTTAGTGTCTGCTGTCAAGTGTGAGGAGGAGGGACTAGAAAAGGAGGAGGAGTCTAACACAACTTCCAGAATTCTGGCCGGAGTAGAAACAGAAACACAGGAAGAGGAACCAGCCTGAGGGGAGATGATGCACTCGGGTGAACAGATCCACAGCCAAGATGGTAAACACGCGTAGAGGAAAATTCCCACAGATGCATGCTGGTCAGACTGTGGGATGCACACTCGCTCTCCGTGATGCACTCTTTAGGGGAGGTGGGGACCGGCTGCAGACGCTGTGCACAGAGCCACCGCTTGTCCAGGTGCGTTTCCAGAGTGTGGGGATCTGTGCTAGAGTCACAAGGGCAGCTGAGACAAACACCACACCAGGTGTGAGAGATGACTCACAGCCTCCTAGGGTAGGGCCCTTCGGCAGTTAAAAGCCCTCGTGTGTGTGTGTGTGTGTGTGTGTGTGTGTGTGTGTGTGTGTGTGTATGAGAGAGAGAGAGAGAGAGAGAGAGAGAGAGAGAGAGAGAGAGAGAGAGAGAGAGAGAGAGAGAGAGAGAGAGAGAGAGAGACCTGCCTCATCAGCAGAGCAGCCTGAGGTCAGAGAGAGGAAGGCCTGGCCCTCAGGGAACTCACCAATGGGCAAACAGAGCTGCTCAGAGAAAGTTGAAAGTGACTCATGGAACACAGATGTCATACCCCAAGCTGTGGCTGCTCATGACTCTGCTCAGGGTGTCAGTAGGCTGACATTGACAGACTAATGAGAGAACAGTCACCCAAGAGCCCTTTGAAAGGGGAGAAGTGAGAGTTTCACAGGAAGGGTAGGATGAATGAGTAAGCAGGGAAGGGAAGGAGATATGCAATGTACCTGGGGCATGATCACATGAACACACATGTGCTCGTGTGCGTGCACACACACACACACACATACACACACACACACACACACACAGCAAAAACTCCCAGCCTTCCCTATGGCTTTTGCAGGTCCAGCTTTTGGGAGACAGAGCTCTCCTCCTGGTCCATGGAGGCTTGTTTTATTTTGGGCTTAAACATCATCTGGAATAGTTGTTCCTGTACAACTCTGTCACAATAGAAATGCTATTTATCACCATGGTCCACTATGTCTGCCATATGCCGGGTGGCTGAGCACGTGGAAGTAAATTTGAAATTTATTTTTAATTTTATATATATATGTATATATATATATATATATATATATATATATAGAGAGAGAGAGAGAGAGAGAGAGAGAGAGAGACTAGTGGTCCTGGTTTTTTTGTTTTGTTTTGTTTTTGGTTTTTGGTTTTTTACGAGACAGAGTATCTCTGTATTGTTTTGGAGGCTGTCGGTCCAGCCTGGCCTCGAACTCACAGTGATCTGCCTGCCTCTGCCTCCCGAGTGCTGGGATTAAAGGCATGTGCCACCACCGCCCGGCTGGCTAGTGGTCCTTTTAACCACTGAGCCATCTCTTTCAGAGGACCCAGGTTCGGTTCCTAGCACCCACATGGCAGCTCATAATCATTTGCAATTCTAGTTCTAGCAGATCTGATGTCGTCTGGATTCCTTTGGCACCAGGTACACATGTAGTGCACATTCATACATGGAGGCCCTAATACATAAAAAATTAAAGGTAAAATTTTATTATTGTGTGTATACAATGTGCATGGGTGGGCATGCTATCCCCAAATGTGGAAGTCAGGGGACAATTGTTGGGTCTGTTCTCTCCTTTCACCTTTATGTATGTAGATGCCAGGACTAGAACTCAGGTTGCCAGCTTTCACAGGAAGTGCCTTTTACCCACTGAGCTATCTCTCTGGCCCTACTTCTTATTTTTATGTTGGTTTTTTTAGTCAGTATCTCAGGTAGGATGACCTTGAACTCTTGGTCCTTCCCTAAGTGCTGAGACTACAAATGTGGACCATGACCATTGCTATGGTGCTCAGCATAGTTGTGGATATTTGCTACCCTCCTTTAGGGATGGGACACTGGAGTGTGTGTGTGTGTGTGTGTGTGTGTGCACGCATGCGTGTGTGCAAATCAGAGGTCCACATTAGGTACCCATGTTCAATTGGTATTCCATCTTATTTATTTCAATATAATGTCTCACTATCTAGCCCCAACTGGGCTGGAACTGCCTATACAGACCAGGCTGAACTGGAACAGAAATTCACCTGCCTCTGCTTCCTGAGTGCTGGGATTAAGGTGTGTCGTCATCCTGGGGGTCCATCCACCTTATATGTAGAGACAGGGTCTGTGAGTCTGTAGATCAGCAATTAGCTAGACTGGCTGGCTAGGGAGTGATGGGAGAGCCACCCTCACCACAGACCTGTGCCATCATGCCCGGCTTTTACTTGGTTGCTTGGGGTCCGTGTGCTGATCAGAGTGTTTGCCCAGCTGGCACTGAGCCAGCCTCAACAGGTTATTTGAGGAGGCTTTGTTTTTTAATCTCCTGAGTCTGTGTGGATTCTCATGGACAAAATGATTACCGTGTTTATGTTGGGTAACAGCCTTCCTTCGGAGGCTTGCTTTGCTTGCCAGAAGGTTTGGGTGACCTCACTGGAGTAAACATCACAGTGGTGAACAGGCCTGGGCCACAACCAGCTGCTTCTTGGTATCAGACAAACTGCCTATGCCATAGTTCTGGGTCTTTGAGACCTGCAATCTGAATATGGAGTTGCTCGGCTGCGGAGGGTCAAAGGACGACAACCCCATTCCTATCAGCAAAGTGAAGGATGCTCTTGAAAAGCTGGGCTGAATCCTATCTTTCTTCCTTATTTGTGCATACGTGTGTGTGTGTGTGTGTGTGTGTGTGTACACCATGAATATACAGGTGCCCACAGACCAGGGAGTTGGAATTACAGGTGGTTGTGAGCAACCTAATGCAGAGATTGGGAACAGAATATCTGTTCCTCTGGAAGAGTACTTAATCACAAAGCTATCTCTCAGTGTCTTCATCTTCCTTCTTAGTGTAGGATACACACAGACTGCGTGTCTTCAGTCCTTGAAGCTAGTACCTTTAGAACAGTGTCCCTTCTAGCACGGATCCAGGATCCAGAAGATGAGGAAGGTTTATGTTGAGTCTCTTCATACAAGTTTGCTGCCCCCCACCTCTTTATCCTAGGCTAATCAATTATTTCCCTCATCTTGTTACAGAGGATATAAATATCTTGGTGCCCGTGGCAATTTGAATGTAATTGTCTCCCATAAGCTCATAGGGAATGACGTTATTGGGAGGAATGGCCTTGTTGACTAGGTTTGGCTTTGTTGGAGGAAGTGTATTACTGTGGCGGTAGACTTTGAGGTCTCCTATGCTCAAGATACCACCCAGTGTCTCATTTCATTTCCTGTTGCCTGCACAAGATGTAGAACTCTCGGCCACTTCTCCAGCACAGTCTGCCTGCACACTGCTGTGTCCCACCACGACGATAATGAACTGAACCTCTGAACTGTAAATCACACCATTAAATGTTTTCCTTTATAAGAGTTGCTGTGGTCGTGGTGTCTCTTCACAACAATAGAAACCCCAATTAAGACAGTGCCCCTATCAATCCCAGCCATGGTGAGGGGTTTGGAAGATAAATGCTACTATCTTCTTTCATGGACACTGCTTTATACTTATCCAACTTCTAATTGGATATGTATAGCTACTGTCTATTTCTCTGGTAAATTCTAATTGGATCAAACAGTTCACTATGTTGTCCTCCAACCCTCTTTTTTTTTTCTTTTCTTCTTCCGAGACAGGGTTTCTCTGTAGCTTTGGAGGCTGTCCTGGAACTAGCTCTTATAGACCAGGCTGGTCTTAAACTCACAGAGATCTGCCTGCCTCTGCCTCTCAAGTGCTGGGATTAAAGGCGTGTGCCACCACCACCCAGCTGTCCTCTCTAACTCTCTAGAATGGTTTATGATAAGTGACTACATTAGGCTGGCTTTTAAAAACATGGCCTGGCATGGAGCAGAGGCAAAGAAAAATATTGAAGAACCCACAGAACCTGTTTCTTCATTGTTACCTGTTGGGGCATCACTTGTGGTAGAATTGGCTAACAGTTTATAGACATGATTTAATGTTAGCTTATCACTTAGAAAGTTCCCTCATTCTCATGATGATCTTGTAAGATAAGAATAACACAATAAGTGTTCCCTTGGAGAACTGAAACATTTTGCCTAAACTCACAAGGTAACAAAGGTCAGAGTGGTCTTCAGTTATGTTTTCCATGTTTGTAAGTCACAAACTTAGACATACCATACTAAAGAACATCTCAGTATGGGCTTGATAGAGATTGCTTCATTTTGGACTTAAATACAACCTTTACAGCCCTAGAAAAGCCTCTGGCTACAGAGAGAAGGTATGCAAAGGAGCAGTCCTTGGGTTAATTGTGTGTTTGGAGGAGATCTGTCCACCTCAAGGCAGGTGTCTGGAAATGATAGCTTGACACCAGAGCTATTACTTGATGGTTTGTTCCAAGCTCATCAGAATTGTGACAATTGGAGTCTGGGTTAAGAAATGAACAAGTGATGAAAATTGCAATACAAGTGTCAAAATTTGGTCGGGGCATGCTTCAAAGAATGACAGAACATTGGAAAAATTTCCATGAATTCAGTAATTGACATTCACAGTAGCCACTCAACTCAGAGAATAAACCTGTCCTCACAAATCAGATGCAAAACATTACCCAGAGTTCTAGGTTTGGGAAGGAAATGATGGAGTGCACCTCCCCCAACCCTGGGAGGGGCTGTTTAAGTTTACAGTATTTCACTTGTCTATTTTTCTCCAGCCCTTTTCTGATAGACCGAGGATGCTTTGCCAGATGTGACATTTAATACACAGGGTTCTGGAAATTGGATCTGTGTGGCCTGGTTCTTTTTTGGGAAATGCCAACTTTCTTCTTTCTTTTTAGAGTCTCTGGGAGGATAGGTCCAGCACCCCCTGGCTTTGTGAACCTTTTAGAAGGAGATTTATTTGGTAAGTCATGCACTCCCTCAGGGATTGGAGATACTGGGGGCAAGTCAAGGTGTTAACAACTGGACCTCTGTAGAAATCTGAGGAAGGACTCAAACTTGGGAGGGAAATATCCAAACCCAAGTATGAGCCTGATAGCTAAAGGTTTTTCTTGCATCTGTTTTGAGTCTCCTAAGGGACCTTGGGTTTTCTTTCTTTCTTCTTTCTTTCTTTCTTTCTTTCTTTCTTTCTTTCTTTCTTTCTTTCTTTCTTTCTTCTTTCTTCTTTCTTTCTTTCTTTCTTTCTTTCTTTCTTTCTTTCTTTCTTTCTTTTTGGTACCAAACTCATGTATTGAGCTAAGCAGGGTGAACATACAAGCAGACACACACCGTGCATTCAGTATTCTGGTATCTTAACATGTCAAACATACCAGTATCCTCAGTGTCTCGAATGAAGAACTGTGGAAAAGTAAGGTTCCATCTCTTTTCTCAATGAGAAGGTGGGACCTTGGAGATACCATACCATTAAGACTCAAGCCTTCAGGATAATACTTGAAGAATTAAATTTGATTTGCAAGTATTGTTTCATAGGCACGGTGGCAAAATGCATCATGAAAGCCCCTGTTCTTGTCATCATCTTCCTTCTCCTCCTGATACTCCTCCTCCTTTTTCTTGACACAGATCTCACCATGTACCCTTGGCTGGCCTGGAACCTGCTCTGTACACCAACTAGGCCTCCAGCTCAGAGATCCACTTATCTTAAAGGCATGCACACCATGCCTGGCCTCTGGATTTTTGTCTTCTGAGAGAAATGGTCAATCTTACACAATGTCATTGTTACTTTGTGTTGGGTACAAGTAAATATAAAGTTGAGTTAGAAAATCAGATCCAAGTAATCTATAATTACTTTTAAACAGACAGCCATGTCCTTGTTTGGAAGTTGTATGAGGGCTGGTACAACCATGCTTGAAAGGCTGGTTTTTATAGTGGGAAGAAAAAGCTATAGGAATGTGACAGCAGCTTGTCCTGTGGTGCTGGCAGAGGAGCCTCAGATGTGCCCAGAGTGCCCCAGAGGCATGCGCTGGGACCTGGTGTGTGAACCTCTGCATGGACACAGCGGGGCCAGGTGTCCATTTGTTCCACAGTCCCGGTCTAGGGATGGATTGCTATGTGCTGTTGTCTGACTCAGAATCATATCCCATTTTTTTGTTATCTGTCCTTGTTCTTTTTCCATTCTAAGTGTCAAAATGTCAGAATATACCTTAGTGCTAAAAATAAGTTGTTCTAGTCAGACAAGCTTTAATTTTGACTTAATCTCAGTCCCCTGGTTCAGCAGCAGCAGGCCTTATATTTAGTTCTTGGCCAGCAGGAAGAGACCCAGGCGAAGCCTTCTGGCAGCTGCCAGTGTGGAGAGATGGTTCTCTTTCACCTTCAGACTCTAGGTGGGATAGTTTATCGTGTGCTTTTATACCCCTTAATAGGGAATATATATCTCTCCCAGAGAAACAGCTACGTCCATAAACATCCATCACTGATGTTTTTAAGGTGTCCTTTGAACATTAAATAACCACTGTGTGAACATCGTAGATTAAAGAAGAAATCAAGAGCCTGATTGATATCAGGTATCCAAGATCTGTCTCTGAGATCCACGCTACTGAAAGGAAAGAGACAGTCCCTCCTTGGGAGTCTGTTTCAGCCATAAAATATTAAATAAGAATTCATAAGGGGCATTCTACTCACCTTAAATCAATTCGCTTTGCTAACTAACGGCCAGGGTTCGATGCAGTCTGTGGTCTTTAGCTCTTACACAGAACAAGTGAAATTCTTAGACAGAGAAGAACTTAAACATGAAACATGGAGGTAAGGAGAGCTCTGCTCTGCGGTCAGCACATCTGGGCTGGAAGGCCCACCCCACTTCAAACTGCCTGGGAAACTGCAGCTCAGGCTGCTTAGCACTGTGTGTGTGTGTGTGTGTGTGTGTGTGTGTGTGTGTGTGTGTGTGTGTGTGTGTCTGTGTCTGTGTCTGTGTCTGTGTGTCTGTGTATGTCTGTGTGTGTCTGTGTGTGTACACTCGTGGGCTCATAGAAAATACTGGTTAGTTTTTTGTCAACTTGATACAAGCCAGAGTCATCTGGCAAGAGGGAACCTCAATTGAGAAAATGCCTCCGTCGATGGTCTGTGGGCAAGTCTGTGTGTGTATGCCTGGGGGGGCATTTTCTTGATTAATGACTGATGTGTGAGGGCCCAGACCATTGTGGGCGGGGCCACCCTGGGAAGGTGGTCCTGGGTGGTATGAAAAGAAACTGAATGAGCTATGAACAAGCCAGTAAGCAGAATCCTTCCATGGTCTCTGTTTTAGTTCTTACCCCGACTTCTCTTCATGATGGACTGTGAGATGACATGAACCCTTTCCTTCTCGGGCAGCTTTTGCTCCTGGTGTTGTCACATCAATAGAAAGTAAACTGGAGTGATGTGGGATGCTGTTAGCTCAGACTGGCCTCAAATTCCTGATCCTCCTGCCTCTTAAATGCTGGGATTATGGGCATGTGCTACCATGCCCTGTCTGTATATCTTAGCATGTATGCACCAAGACAAGATTGGTGGCATATTCCTATAATCCTAGCATTTGTGAGGTAAAGGCAGAATGATCAAGAGTTCAAGGCCAGCTTTGGCTACATAGCCAGTTCAAGGCTAGACCCTGCCTCAAAATAAAACAATAGATTACAGATAGACATATATGTATGAGATGAGTTAATATACATAGAGTACAGTGTTTGCAATAGTATAAACACTCAAACAATGGCTATTGTAAACATTATCATATTGCTATAATACTATGTTGTTCTTAACTATTTGTTACCAAGTTATACAAAAATATTTAAACAATTGCCAGTTACTATAGATGTTGTTATCGTATTTTACCCTACTCTGAATTTGAATTAAAACCAGAGACAACAGTGCCAAGGATTAGATCAGAAGTCACAAACATGGTGCCTCCAACTCTAGCATCAATGTACATCTTATATTCCATGAATATCAGGTCCTTCACCACCAGGGGACAAGAGTGAGGCCCAGCAAGGAAGGCCATGGCTTGGTTGTGACCGGTGGTGTTCAGAGTAGGAGCACCAGGCTCAAGTATCTCTTGCCTTGCCCTTTAGGATTGGAACAGGCTTCTATCTTATTCATCTTTGTGCCCGTAGGTGTTCATGTGTGTGTGCATGCATGTGGTGGCCAGCTGTCCAGACATCATAGGTGTTGTACCTTAGGCATCACATACCCAGGTTTTCTCCTTTTCTTTTTCTCTTTTTTTTCTTCTTTTGAGACAGGGTCTCCTGCTGGCTTGGGGTTTTCCCAATTCTGGCAGGCTATCTGGCCAGTGAGCTCCAGGAATCCTCTTTTTATTGCCCCAGCTCTGGGATCCCAAGTGCACTTGCTCTCCCTACACACTGCCACACTTGGCTTTTTTTTTAAATGTGGGTTCTGGAAATTGAACTCAGTTTCTCACATTTGTGAAGCAAGCACATAGCACCAACCAATAGTGCCAATGCATTGGAGCTGGCTTTTTTCTAACACATACACTTTATGTGTACACACACACACACACACACACACACACACACACACACACACACACGGAAGCAAGAGACTTAAATTCTCCATACCTGTTTGGATGATGACCCACTTGAAGTCCGGGATCTGTCACTTGTGTCTTTCCCCCATAGCTGATCCTGTTTCTTCTCATTTGAGTCTTTTTTGAATTCCTGTCGTTTCAAACAAGCCTAGAGAACACACAACAGAGATGAGAAAATGGTGTCTTTCTCTTGGGTCTGTGACTAGTTTAGCAATTTCAGGCTTAATACCAACTTGAGAGGCACAAGGAAAATGATATCTATCTCCAGCTGTTCATGAAATACCTGTCACCAGGTTCAAAGACCAGGTGTCATTCTCTCCTCCCTTTGCCCAAAATCCCAGTTCAAAACCATCAATCATTGCTTTAATAAATACAAACAATAAACACACCGTGGGACATTTTGTGAAGAGTAGTTTTTTTCTTTCTTTTCAAATTATTTTATTTATGTCCGTATGTGCACATCCATGTGAGTGATGAGTGTGTGTGCACATGCCCTAGGAGGCCAGAAGATGCCTAAGATTTCCGGAGCCTGGGCCACAGGCATTTGTGAGCCACCACCCTATATGGTTGGGGAAGCTGAACTCTGGTGTTCATGGCTGAGAAGCAAGTGTTCTTGACTGCCCAGCCATTTCTCTAGCACCTAGAATAGTTGCTTTTTTAGGAAGGTTGTATCCAAAATGCTATATCGACTTCTTCCAGTCTTATTTCCCTCCGTGGAACCCCGCTCATCACCTCTTGGGCTGATCTACTCCTGGGTCATTTGTTAGTTATAGAAGAATTTTCATGCATCTGACTGACACGTTACTCTCTCTGCTGGAAGAGCTTCCCTGTGTCCCCTAGGCTCACCCTGCTGATCACTAAGATCTGGCCCATGTGACAGCACCTCTTTCCCTGCCTATTCCTCTCTGGGCTGAGTTAATTGCTAATGAAGCAGTGGACAGTAGCCTGACTTCATCCGCAGTGTCAACAGTTACCCATAGTCATCTTTGATGCACAAACATGAAGTGGAAGATTCCAAGAATAAATAATTCATAAGTTCTGAATCTTGCACCATTCTGAACAATGTGATAAAATCTCACTTCATCCCACTCTTTCCTGCCCTGGACATGAATTATCTCTTTGTCCAGCGTATACGCACTCTGCAAGCTGCACTCCTATTACTCACTTTGTAGCTGTTCATTTATCAGCTCTGCTGTGGCATAACAAAACACTGTTGCTGAAGCAATCCTCATGTTATTTAATGATGGCCCCCAAGGGCAGGAGCAGTGACGCTGCAACTGTATTACAGTGAATCATCAGAACTGCTCTTTTTATGATTAGGTAGTATTGCTAATCTTTTACTGTGTCTAATGGGGGAGGAGGGAAGGGTTTTATTCTGCTTATACTTCCAGGTTCTATCCCATTAGAAAGGGAAAATCCAGGTAGGAACTTACAGCTAAATCGTAAGCAGTCAAGAGCAGGGGGAATAAACGCATGTACGCCTGCGTTTCTGCTTACTTTTTCACTCTCACACAGGGCCCAGCCTACGCAATGGTGCCTGCCATCCAGATTTAATGTGGATTGTCCTTCCTCAGTTAATAACCGGGAAAGTCTCCACAGTCGTGCCCACCATCTGATGCAGGCACTTCCTCAGGTGGGGTCCCTTCTCAGATGATTTTAAGTTGTGACAAGTTGACATTTTAAACTACTGGGGGTGTGCGGTCATGGAGGGTATCTCCTGTGACTGCTATGTATGTATTAATACGAAGCAAACGTGTAGTTTGAATTGTGTAATTTTCCTGCTTCACTGTAATCAGTTTTGTTTTACAGTTCATTTGCCTAGCTGACCAGTAAGAATCTGAAGAGTAAGGACCACTTCTCACTTTTGAGTTTCTAGCGTCTTGAATTGCATTTGTTTCTTTTATCAGTTTTAAAGTTGGCATACAAGAGGATGGGTTTCATCACGACATTTTCATACACACACAGCACTACACGCACACACATACACACACACAATCACAGATTGAAAGAGAGAGGAGAGAGAGCAAAAGAGAGCGAGAGAGCGAGAGAGAGAGCGAGAGAGCGAAAGCGAGAGCGAGAGAGAGAGAGAGAGAGAGAGAGAGAGAGAGAGAGAGAGAGAGAGAGAGAGAGAGAGAGAGATTGGATAACTAATCAATCAGGGAGTTCATCGCTGGAGAATCAGACTCTCCCTTCCTCAGCAGCTACTGACTGATTGCAGCTCTCCACCTAGGGATGAAATCTTGTGATGCTGTCCCCATCCATGTTGCCATGTCAACTAGCATGGTCACTGTGCAGGTCTTGTATTTGTGTATTTTAATTTAAATTCTGCAGATGAGAGAAAACCCATCGTATCTGAGTCTGACTTGAATCATATCTTTGCTTCAGAAATTATCAGTCCCTAAATCCAAAGTAATAAAAATAAAAGAACTACTCCCCATCACCATTTTTCTTAACAAAATTAAAATAAAATCTAGTGCCAAACACTTTCCCCTGCACTAGGACTGAAGCAACCCAAGGACACCAGGGATCTCAACTGATATTTTAAATACTCCCCCCCCCCCCAAAGCCACCAAAGCACATGGAACATTTCTATACTCAGAGACCCTCACTCATCTATGACCTGCCAGGGTCAAATTATTCACTAAAGAAATCTGGTGTAAAGATCAACATCGTTGTTACTAAAGTAGACCTGCTATTTGCCCACTTCCTGGCTGAGTTGAGAAAAGAAAGATTTCTTTTGCATTTCCTCTCCACTTCCATTAGAAAAGGCATTTCCTTTTTTAAATGCTGTGGGATTCAGAGTTTCCTGTCTGGGAGGTCAGGCTACAAGGTTAAGAATAGAAATGGCCTGACTGTGGTGAACCAGGTGCTGCCTGGAGCCCCCTGGGAAGAATTAGTCACATTGAGCCTGCAAGGGAAAGCTCCACCCCAGCTCACTAGCTGGTCACCTGCCCTGGGTGGACTCCTGGATTCCAGGAGAAAGATGAGGTCTCACCCCACCAGGCTTGGGAAGGGAGAACACTCAGACTGTTTTGGTTTTTACTGCTGTCCTTCCCTCCATCTTTTATTTTGAACAACCATGTCACTTTAAATCATTGAAATGGACACTGGGAAGTGCTTCCAGGATCCCTGTGTTGCATAATGTAAGCAAGAAAACCTAAAGAAGGGCTGGAGAGATGGCTCAGGGGACAGGAAGCGTTCCCAGCTGGGTGGCTCAGAGCTGCTAGCAACTCCTGCCCCAGGAAATCTGATCATCTCTTCTGACCCCCTGAAAGCAGGTATACACACACACACACACACACACACACACACACACACACACACACACACACACACACACACACACGAGAGAGAGAGAGAGAGACAGAGACAGAGACAGAGAGACAGAGAGACAGAGAGACAGAGAGAGAGACAGAGACAGAGAAACCCAAAGAATAGTAGACAGTACCTATCAAAAAATAAGTTCAACAACAATAAAAAAATAAGCCAAGAAACTTGAGTAAATATGAGCTGCTTTAAAAAACATTAAAATATATATTTTTAAAGATTTATTATGCATATAGTGTTCTGCATACATGTATGCTTGCACACCAGAAAAGGGCATCAGATCTCATTATAGATGGTTGTGAGCCATTATGTGGTTTCTGGCAATTGAACTCAGGACCTTTGGAAGAGTAACCAGTGCTCTTAACTTCTGAGTCATATCTCTAGCACCTCCCCCATTAAAATATTGTATGTATGTATGTATGTATGTATGTATGTATGTATGTATGTTTGTATGTATTTTTAGGAAGTGCCATGAATCATATGTGGAGGTCACAGGCACAGTCCGTTTTCTCCTTCCACTGTGTGGGTCCAAGGGCTCAAACTCAGATTGCCACACTTGACAGTAAGAACTTTACCAGCTAAGCGGATTCTGTCCTGTTTGTTTGGGGATGCCCTTCCCACAGTGACTTCAAGTCAGACCACCTGCCATTGTGGGGACTGTAGGAAGGAGGCCTGTGTGCTAAAGCCACAGGACTGAGCGGTGCCCTCACTGACAGTATTTAAGTCATTGCTGCAGGTCAGAAAGTGGAGAAGTCGGCACAGCAAACACAGGCAGGACCAAGGCAGAATTTAAACAGAATTCTTGTAGGCTGGGAGGTCTTATTTACTTGATTCTCTCCAAAATTGAATGTGACTATGACTTTATTTCTTTTATTTTTGTTTTGTTTCTTGAGACAAGGCTTCTCTGTGTAGCTCTGGCTGTCTTGGAACTTACTCTGTAGCAGGCTGGCCTTGAACTCACGAAGATTCACCTGCCTATGCCTCCTGAGTGCAGGGATTAAAGGCATGTGCTACCACTGCCTGGCTTTAAATATTTCTTTATCAAAAGGAGATGATGGATAGATTTATTTATTTATTTTTAAGGTTTCTTTTTTTTTTTTTTTGCAATGTTGAAAACATTATTTTTCTCTGGTTCCCTTTCCTTCAGATTAGTGGGTGGGAAGATAAACCATGGCAGGGCAGATACTTAATGATTTTCAGCCTGAGATGCCCGAGCAATCTTTGTGCAAATCAAACAGCAATCCTTTGAGTGTCACAGCTTTGCTGTGAAGGAACACAGAAACGCAGCGACCTCAGATCCAGGCCATTTTCTTCCTACTTGTGAATGTGAATGGTTTGTTTGTCTGGTTCTTGATGGTGATGGCTCTGTGGTGGGGATCCTAAAGTGACCAGCTGGCTGGAGAAGGGGGAGCCCTGGGGCAGGGGGGAGAAATCCAATTAAATTGCCTGTCCTTCTGGACTTCTCAATTAGTCCCCTTGAGTCCCACCAGCCAGGATTAAACGGCTGAGAGTTCAGGGTGTGTGGTCAGACCATCAGAGGGCAGCCTTGAAGTGAAAGGCAGCAGGTGACTCCTGTGTCTTCCTTCTCTTCGACTTTGGTGGTGCCCCTGTTCCCCACCCCCACCCCCACTTGGCCCTCTGAGGACAGCACAGGCAAGAGGCTGCCTTCTCTGCAGAAGCTTCTGCTGTGGGATCCAATCACAGAATGTGCCTGTGGGGGGTGGCGTGGGTTTTGTGACTCACTGTAACCCAATCCTGGTAAACAAACCCAACCCCAGCTCTGCCACTTTCTAGCAGAGACCTTGGGGCAGGCTGAGTCCA